CTAAAGATATAGATTAATCACAGACAGATCTAACCTAGGTTTTGCTAATTCGAGTGCTGGAAACACGGCAAGATATTTCTTGTTCATCGTGAGTTTTCTTCAAGAGTCACAAAGGCAGATGTTAATTTAATTTTGCTATAAAGCTTATTATTTTTATTATATAAATATTTAGTTTAAGTCACTAATTTATTATGAGGAGACTGAAAAAAATTTTTTTTCCAGGATAACTTCTGTTTTTCTGTTTTCTATTAACTATACATTTTGTAAAAAAAAAAAAAAAAAAAAAAAAAAAAAAGTTTATATAGTCTTTAAAACGGTTTTCTGTTTTTTATTTATAGGTAATATATTATTTAAAGCAATTTTAGTTTCGTTTAATAAATTTTTAAAGCGCCTAAGAGTTAAGAACAATTATTAAGGTGTCTTGCCTCATTGTGCACCGCCCACATGAGATCAGGCTAGTCGTGAGAAAACTTCCCCGTTATATGAACCCCTAGGGGGCTATACGTTAACTAATTGAAATGGAAGTTCAGATATTGTTAACTGAAGCTCGAGATTGTTATGTTCGTCATTGTTGTCAACAATTTTCCGCGTGCAATGCGTTAGCGTCTCCGAAGGTAGGCATGTTGAAAACCAGTAATTCCAAGAAACGTTTCTTTCCCTCTCCTGTCTTGTGCTGTCACTGACCCTTTACAATTGCAAATGTTTTACGTCGGCTATTTTCGTCATACATGTATCATTCCAACGTCATTTACGGTTTTTCAATGCGTTGATCAATTTGAGCGAGAAAAAAAGTGGGCGTTGCCATTCGAAAATTTCAAAATTTGTCACTGTAACGATCTCGAGTGCATACCTTCAAATAACAATAGCTGAAATTTCATTTCGATTAGTCGAGCGGAAAGGCTTCTAGGGTTTCACATATCGGGGAAGTTTTTGACCACCATGTAGAAATTAGAATCTCATGTACATTGACAGGCTTATAAAGGTAGAAACAATTTAAGAAATTTATAATGCTTCTTAATTACATATTGGTTATTTGTATTACTACGCTTTCCATGGTGGAAATTTTTGAAAATATGAAAGTACTTCCTTGTTTGCGAAATTTTGAAATAATTGTATGTATAAATCCTTGAGCGGAGACTGTTTCACGAAATGAATTGCATAACATATTAGGCTGCGAAATCTTTCTAAAATTTTAGTGTATGTGTGTTGTGATAATGGTAAAGCCTCGAGGGATATCTGCCTAAGGGAAAGGGATGCCTTCGTGGAGGACTTTTTAAGGGGAACTGGCTCGTATACACGTTACACGTGGGGGAAAACCACGAAAACGCCCATGCAGCCAGCCTTTTCGCGGGATTCGAACCTCGGACCGAACTACCAGTGTTCAGCGACTCTACCGCTCGGTCGCTGGTGGGCTAAAATTTTAGTGAGTACTGGCTTCGATGGCAAGCACATCAGGGAAAACGATGGTGCTAGATTCAAGCGAATACTGGCTCTAGACTAAAATTAAAACCCTTTCATGCACTGACAGAAAACTTATAGGCAGTATACATCCCGGGAAGACACATTAGGAATAAAGGTAAGAGTTAGTTTGTGACACTGTAATTGAGTTTAACTTGCCAATTAAGTTTTTACATCTTTCCTTTATGATTCATTTCGTCACGTACTCGTTCATTTCTAAGGATTATGCAAATATGAGGGACAATAAAGTTAGGAAAATAATTTCGTAATCGTATGAGTGCATTAGATCAATATTTTGGTTGTACGTTCTGCATGCTTACCTATTACTTTAACGAACGCCGCTGCTCGAGGGAACCAGGATTTCCAGACGATTAGCTTTGGTGGGAAGTTAAAGACTTTTATAGAATTTAGTTTGTTCGACCAGAAAATTGCAGCCTTGATATGAAATCAATTACACTCATGTCCATAAATTAAGGATAATGCAAAATCAGGCAAAAGAAGAGTTAGAAGCAAAACAAATTTGACTTATTTGTAAAGCTTATTTATTAAACAAAAGGTAAAGAGCAAAAAAAAAAAAAAAAGATGCTATATGTTTGATATTATTAAAAAAAATAGCGATTTTTTCTCCCTGGAGTAAATTACAAAAAAGAACTATTTACAAAAAACCAATATTACATGGTTGGTATGATTGTTAGTACATTGTATGTCTCCCAGACGATGCAATACAATCCGTACAACACCTAGGCATGCTGAGTATCAAATTATCGATCTGATCTTAGGGGATATTACACCACTCAAAAAGCGATGCTCTCCGAAGTTCCGGACATGTAGGAGGAGGTTGATGGGCTGCAACTCGTCGGCCAAGAATGTCCCACCCGTACTCTACTGGATTCAGGTCCGGTGAGAATGCTAAGCCAGTCCCATACGGGTGATATCCTCCGATTGAAGGCATTCGCTTACGATGTTTGCACGGTGAGGACGGGCGTTGTCATCCATAAACACAAATAGTGCGCCCATGGCGCCCCGAAACAAACGTACATGTTGTTCCAGAATGACGTCCCGATAGATTTGGCTTGTCATGGTTCCGATTTGAACATGCAGGTCAGTTCTGGAACCCAGAATAATTCCACCCCAAACGAGCACTCCTGTACCACCGTAACGCTGTCGTTCAATGATGTTTTCTTGGTGGTAACGGGTACCTGGAGCTCTCCATATGAAAGTCCGGCGAGAATCAGACTGAAAGCTAAACCTGGACTCGTCGGAAAATATCACACAAGCCCACTGTTGCGGTGTCCACAATGCATGCTCTCTACTTCAGGCTAACCGCAGGCGACAGTGAGTTGCAGTAAGTGGAACGCATCTGACAGGTCTACGAGCTACAATTACAATTTAGTTCTTTGCGCAAACTTAAACTGTAGTTGTTTTACAAATTGAACCATGCACCTACATTTTCTTTCGTAGTACTTGCAGACAGGATAATACATACATAAGTACAAAACTTGAATATTAAAGTGAAAAACTAACATGATACTGAATACAGAAATACAGAAAGCTGATCCTTAATGCCTGCATACATAACACTTAAAAATGCGTAGGTAATACATGAAAACTAAAACTAAAACTGATCATTAAGTAATGCTATGTAGTCTAAATCCTAGCCAAGTACGAACTGACCTTCATAGTACATGCAGAGAAGTAATAACCCTCACGAATAATGAAGTTATATTTTCTCCCTTCTTTTCGCATGCCTTCGTGTTGCTATTGGAAGCATATTTTAGAGGTCCTGGTTTCGAGTCCCGGCGAAAGCATTGCACATTTTTAACGTGTTCGTGCTTCAAAATAACCTAATGACTCTAAAAAGTAAAATAAAGTTAGGTTGAAATTTATTTGTTTTGTCTTACTGTTCTTGCCGATATTCAATTCATTTTTCACTGATAACTCGCATTAAAGCTTTTCAGTCATCCTGAGAGAAAAGAGTTAGATTTGAAGTAGTTAGTTAGAATTTCCCATCCCCTCGCCCTACAACAAGTCTGAAAGGGTAACGCTGACAAATCACACTTCCAAGAGCATACGAGAATCTGACTACCGGCTTCTGTAACCGGCTTCTGTCTGTACCGGCTTCTGTATGTGTGTCCACAGAAGGGCAATATGTATGTAGGTAGAATAATTTGAAGAGCTTTTTTTTACGCTTCTACGAAGTAAAAAGGAAGTATTGTAATCGCGAAAAGTTTCAGGCAGCATATTTCAACGAAAATATACATTTTGACCGCTATCGAATGCAATTTAACGATGTTTTTGCCTGATATCTGTACGTAAGGACAGAATAAAATATTCTTTTCCTTCAAAAAAATTATAAAACTGCTTTAAAATTAATTCTGAAGAGAATTTTTCGTGGCGTCTGTACGAACGTATGTATGTACGTACGTATCTCGCATAACTCAAAAACGAGTAGCCTCAGAACGTTTGAAATTTTGTATATATATGACTACTATAACATGTAGATGTGCACCTCGTATTTTGGTTGCAATCGGCCGCACCAAACGTATATAAATATATTTATATATATATCCACTCTATTACCCGGCTCAGTGATCTCAGTTTCTTTACTCTTATATGTTTGTAAATTGTACATTTTTTTTCTTTAAAAATGATTGAATTATATTGTTTTTATCTTCCGGTTAAGGATTTTATGTCTTTAGTAAATCTGTGTGCAATATTTTTAGAATTATCAGCAATTTTAAAGTTGTTTAATTGCCGCTAAGCCTGTTTTAATGGCGGCCATTGATGTTCACATTTGAAACAGGAGACTAGTGGATTTGTTGCCAATCTAGAGAAACTTAGCTTCGCAACAACAAAGATAACGCATTCATTTATTATTGCCAATTAAATCATGCTTAATTCTTTCTGGAATTTTTTCGAGGAAATAAGCGTTTGAGATTTACTTCGTAATTTTTAGATATTTTGAGTTTTTATGTATTTTTGCCTTCTCGCGAAGTAAGAACTGAATTAATTAAATGAGAAATACTCAATCGTCTGTGAAAAATTGTTTCTTTTTTGTTTTATTTGCTTAATTTCTTTTATACATCGTTCTAGCTTTATTATAGTATTTGAATAGAACATGTGGCAACGATTAGATAGTTCTTTAAATGATATACATTTTGTGCATTATCAGTTATAATATGAATGAAATATAATACTGTTAAGTAAACCTAGCGCCAGAGTGTCGCTATGGTAAACAAAGTGAATTTTAAAGAATGCATTTATTCTATTGTGGTTTATGCGCTGTCGGTGAAGTAGGTTTAATTCAATCTAATAAGTTTAAATAAAATGCAAGAAAAAATGCGTATAATTTAATATTCCGTACAAGGAAGTCATGTGGTGTACACATCAGATTTTTTTAATATCACACCCCTTAATGCAGTTACGTTGTTTCACACTCCGAAAGATTGTACAGGAACTTAAATGTCATCTTACGCGGTCTTAAAATAATTATAATGACAATTAACGATAAGGTGTAACTTTTGATAGTATGAATCACATACCAGCTTCGATAAGATGTTCCTTTGTGGGAAACCTTCTCTTTACGGCCATGCTGATGGATCTCAATACAAGAACTAAAGAAAGGTTCAAGTAACGCATCAAAGTTCTCCGTACGACTCTGCTGGATTCATCAAGTCCTGGTATGTACATTGCAACAATGTTCATCAATCTGAAACAAACGAAAGAGAGTTTATGACTCTGGTAATCATAATGAATAAATATTTACTAACTTGAAAGAGACGAGACATGCAGTTCATTGTAATGCTGTAACACATTCCATTTAAATTCATTAACCTGAAATATTCATTAACCTGAAATAAAAAGATGGATGCCATCTCAATGTGTTTGTGTATAAGTTTCCAATAACCATATTTAGTTCAATAGAAATAAAAGATGTCAACCTAGAATTTCGATACTGTGCAGCATTATAAAATTAAACATCCTGTAGGAAGTAAAAGAAGAGTAAATAAACGGTATTAAACTGAATAAACGGTATTTTTAATGCGATCTCCAGGTTCTTGTACTTATATTTGGGAATATTCGTTTTGAAAAATATGATTCGTTATTTTACTTTTTCATAACATTCGTTATGAAAAAATAAAATTATAAGAACTTTGACTCTTGTTTGTAAAAAACTAACCAAGATGTTTAATTTCAAAATTTACAGTTTTTGTATGCCATTTTTAACTTGCCTCGAGAGTTTGGTTAATTAAGTTAGAAAAATTCGAGTGAATAAATTAAAATGAAATGCAGCAAAAAATGTATAAAATTTAATACGCCGTGCAAAGAAGTCATGGGGTGTGCATATTAGATTTTTTTTCTTATAACTGCAATGTAAGACGAGATTTGAATTTTGTTGTGGTAAATTCCATTCCGCCTTATTCTGAGGTAACTCATATTCAAACCGTAAAAGGGCCAATATTTTTCAATACCTGTAATACCGCAATGAATACTCCTAGTTTCCTGTAATAACGGCAGAAAATTAATTTTGTTTCATTATAGTATCTATAATAAAATATATTGTTACGAATTTGATATTTAAAAAGCTAATGTTAGTTCAATTATAAATTAAATGGTTTTATTTCTCGCGCAGTGCAGCGCGTGACGAATATTAAAAGAAAGCTAAGCCGGAAAATTGAAAATACAAGAGCGCGTGCATTAAATAAATAAATATCTCTTTTTTGATTTCGAGAAAGTGCTGGAAAATTCCAGCGCGTGATTTTAAAATCTTATAAAAGGAGGAAAACATCTCAGTTCGTAGTAGTTGCTTAGTTTATTGTTGTTTAGAAAACTGCTCTTGTTGATTGTAGCGAATTCGCGTATTAGTTTCTTTAGATGTTTTGAATTACGTTCTATTGGACATTTGAGTAGTTAAAAGATAACTACTGTGAGATATTGTAATACTGCATGATAATTTGAGAAAATTTAATCATATTTGTTGTGATAATAATAAATTTTTGTTCATTTTTCATCGGATTTGTGCATTCATTTCGTAACGAACCCGTACGCATGCAACAATATAAAATAAACTATTCATTCACATTTTTATTAAAATAGAAACCAAAATGTTGGTAATAGCTTGTAGGGTTTATATTTATTTTAACTAACATTTATTTTAAGCTATCTTTCCTGTCAAGACTTTACTTTCCCCTAGAATTGCCAATGCCAGAGTATGTAAATTTTAGTAGAACGTGTAGAGTATTCAAATTTTCAGCAGAAGTAATTTGAGTTAAATAGAAGGAAAGCGAGTTTGTAGGTGTGCTTTCTTGATTTACGAGCGTGAAGGTTGCTAGGTAGAAATTTAAGAACCGCGCGTTTCGGCCTGTGTGCCTACTTCGGCAGTTAGTTGAATCTTTCAACTTCTTATTCAGAAAGTTTGCTGAAATCTCAGCTGTATCTTAGAAATCGGTTAAGTTAGTCACGTTTATAGAGCCTCGTAGGTAGTGACTTGTTATTTTATTCATTTTTAGTTGTACTTTCTTATTTTTATTTAACCGCCGGGTCGGCGTAGTTTGTGAGCGTCAAGTGAACGCATCTGTAACTTCTAAAGTGGAATAAAAAGGGAGTTAAACCCTTCTTAAGAGTTTGTGTAATTTCAAGTTCATAGCAGTCACTACTACTGTTGCGGGCAAGTTGGGGGCCACGCAACACCACAAGCTAAAGACTTATTTTCCCACCAGTGGGCGAGTGGATAAGCCCACTGATGATTGCTGATAGTTCAAACCTAGCTCAAATTCTGATGAACGACTATGCTGTATGAATGTTTTCTAGTCTTTGCTTATTCGTAACCAGCCAATTTTGCACAGAAAGTCCCCCACAAAGACCCTCGTCTACTTTTCCTGAATGAATTACCAAATCGAAAAGTTGTTTAACTATTAACCATTTAAATTATTTATTATTCAAAATCAGATAGGAAATTTAGTATCTCGTATTTTATGTAATTTTCAGTACTTATTATTACTTAATATTTATATTCAGTCATTAAATTTATAAGAAATTTCAAACAATAAAGTATTGCAATAGAGAAATATTGAAGGAAATCAATTACAAAAATTTATGTATTTTATTCGCATCAAATTTAATATTGCAAGAAACCGAAAAGATATTTAAAGCATTGGAATCAGGAGTTGTAACTGCGCATAAAGCTACGTTCTTAAAGCAACTAACCTGCGTTCGAACCACGACAAAATGTTAGTCTTTGTATGGCTTTTCTCATGTGTATAGTAAATAGAAATTAGTTTCCTTTAAAAAGCCCTCTATGAAGACACCCTTTAATTAGGCAAATAGTCCTTGCATGCTTTGAATGCCTTCGTATGAATTAAACAAGCAAACAAACGTATAAAAGTATCATCACTTAATTTAAAATTTATGATGTTTCTGGACACTAAGCATCTACAAGTTTTAAAAGTAAACGATGAATATAATTTAGTTCAGGCATACCAAATGCCGGAATTTGAAAATTGACTTAACGAATATTTTAACATTGCCAGTTACTGTGATAGTACCGCGATAAACTTCAAGAAATTTAAAATATCGGGTTTTAATGCAAAAAGTCAACAACAGAATGTCACCACATCATGCTCCACTAAAATTCATAAAATTCCTTCGTATCTATATAATTTTTTTCGTCTTCCTCGTATATAATTAATTAATAAAATTCCTGCTTTTATAATTAATAAACATATTTTTCATATTTCATACATCACAAACATGTTTTTTCCAATTTTCATTGATTTCACATCATTGTCTGTATGTCACATCATTGTCTGTATTGTATTGTAATCCATTCATCTTACTCACATTTATAACTAATAAACCCTTTTTTCATATTTGACGCATAACAAGATAATCGTTTTGTCACTTTTCATCAATTTTACGACTTGATGGAAATGTGACTTTTCTAATACAAACATTCCATCTCACCAAATTACAAGCAGGCATTAGACTCGACTTTGAATTTCAATTTTTCGAAGATAATTACACTTTCTTGAGCTTAAACACATTTTTTTTTTACAACACAGAAATAAGTGTGACTTCATTTCTTCTCTCTGAACTGACCGTTAAAGTTTTCAACTGTGCACTTAACCAACATGAAATATTCAATTTTGTCAGCAACAACAAAAGTCCTTTCATTTGACAAAAGAAATGATTACTTTAACATTGCATGTCATATTCCATACCATCACGTGTCAACTGTGTGAGATTAAATGCCATTTACAATACATGATTTTTAATTCAATCCATCCATCACTTCTGGGTAAAATCTTCAAATATACTTAAACAGGACTGGTCCTAATATGCCTATTCTACCATCAGTGCTATTTCTTCAAATATAGTTAAACAGGATTGGTGTAATATGCCTACTCTGACAATAATATGACAATAAAAAGATTTTAATTAGGAGGCACAACAAATTTGTAGGAATTTCCTTTTTCATTGTATATATATGTCTTGATTTGATCAAACTCATCAGAAAGTCACCCAAATTACACATGGCATTGCATGGAGATGTGTAAATCTGATTACATCATTTGCAATCAATTCAGTATCTCTTACTAGAATGCTAGTATTTTACTGAGCATTTCTCATCCACAACAAGCACCCTCTTTCCACTTCAGAATGATGTGCATGTAATTCCATTAGTGGTGACCATGATTCCATTAGGTACTAATGTAGGCACTGTGAAGGTTTAGTACCGAAAATTCAAAAACAAGGACTATGACATTCAAGAAGTAGAGCGCTCCGGCTGGCCTACTCATGTATGAGGCCTGCCTGCGAGAATTTGTGGAAGAAGATCAGTATGCAACGACTGAAGAGCTTGCCAAGGAGTTAGACCGTTTAGCTACCGACTATAAGCTAGTAGTAGTAGTTGACTCAAGCAGATAAGGATAGACGTGTTCGTGTTTGCTCGAATATCAACACAAGGACAAAAGGCTAATCTTTGGAATATGGTAACCGGTAGTTTGGCGACATTTTGGTAAGGCGATAAAGGTTACTAGCTAGGACTTTAGAAGTGTACATGGATAAAGTCAAGAATGTGCACAATGCCATTTTTGTGCAATTCTGGGATGATTTTTTAAGTGAAATAGGTTGACGTGCACATGGACTGGGATGTTTTTTTAAGTGAAAATAGGTCGACGTGCACATGGATAACGCGTATGTGCAATTCTTAAAAACGCGGCAAGCAGTGGGCGATTCTGCACTTTCTCCCAATTTCGCACCTTATCTTCGTCATGATTAAGCACTTTTGGTCCATAAAAGTTCTAGTATAAGCGTAATTCGGATAGCAGATTGTTGGAAAAAAATGTTGAGTTAAAAAACTAAAAAAAAAAAAAAAAAAAAAAAAAAAAAAAAAACATGCCTTTAGTTCTTGAAAACAAAATGGCGTCCAAAACAAAACTAGCAGGTTGCTGTAGCAGGGTTGGTCGCCAAAGTTTCGCCAAAAAATTTCCAAGTTACTTCCAAAGATTAACCGGACAATATTCTGGACCGGATCGTCACTTGTGATGAAAAGTATTTATTTCAACAACACAGACCGAAAAAGAGGGAGCCGCAAATCGCAATTTAACTAACAAAAATATCATACTTTTTATCTGGTGAGATTGCCGTGGTATTATTATCCACAAAGAGTATCTGGGAAAAAGAAAAACCCTCGACAGTAAGGTGAAC